CACACAAAAGGCCACACCATCTTGGTCTTCATATCTACCAGAAAATTGAGGATGACGCAAGATATATCAAAAAACCCGCTCGGCTGTAGAGCAGGAAAAAGAGATGAATCCTGGCGTAGATCGACCGGGAAAGTGGGAAAAAGGCAAAAGAGAGTGTGAATAGAATGCAAGCAAATGAGTGTACGACTGGACGACACGCTACTTGACCGGTTTCTAGAGGCACAGTGCAAGAGGTATTGTGAAATGGTAGATCGGAGCAACGCCACAGCTGCGGGTGGTGCAACCTGAGGACAAGGCGCGATCTGACACGAACGCAATATCGCTTGCGGAAGAGGCGCCAAACCGCTCAGGTGAATCCGCAATTAATGAATAAATTGACAAACATGCAAATAAATAAATGAGTTAACACATTGATCATAATTAATAAGGAATAGTCCCAACTGTGCAGGCTGTGCACATGTGCACGCACATGTATCTTTGTGTGTGTGTGTGTGTGTGTGTCGTTTATTAAAGTATTGTTTGTTGTCTTCAGGCAAACTCAGATTCATCGGTCAAGTCCTGTTTATACTTGTGTTTATTTATGCCGACCTGCATTATTCCCAAACAGACCGACGACAGGAAGCAAATCACAGAAGAGGAATGTGCACAATGACGAAAGGTATGTGGCACAGCAGCTGAAGCATGGCATCGCCGTCCGAGAGTCAGTTGGGGTCGGACGAGAAGCGCCGAGGCCGTGGGGCTAGTGGGTTCCGTTTGAAGGGGTTCACGCCGGCCTATATGGTGCAATTGCGTATTAAGCCCCCGTGAATCTCAACTCTCTCTCTCTCTCACACACACACACACACACACACACACACATACATACATACAGGCTGGTGCATGAGCACAATGGCAGTCGCCTCGGTGCAAGTGATTGAGTGAGTCGGCTAGCCAGTGCGTCCGGTGGTACCTCTTCGTGTGTATCTGCGCACATCCCATTTTTGCAAGAGACTGCATTTTTCGGGGGCAATTTTATGCATTTCTAACGCAAATTCCCGCCACACATACACACAAATATGCATACATGCATGCACACACGCATCAAATCGGCTTGCGCAAAGGCAGTCGGCGTCTCGGCCCGATGCGCAGGGGTCAAAGGGTCAACGGAGCGTTTTGTCCCGCGGCCCCTCTCAAGTAGGCATAGGCAAGATCGCCAACGCAAGTAACAACTATGACAAAGGGTTGTTCAATGTGTACACAAACACAGACGCACGTGCATACATTCACACGGGCATTGGGTCTAAACGTTCACCAACACACCAGTTGACAAAGCGGTGCACAGGCTGGTGAAGTGAAGACCGGAGCCGGATGTACGTGGTGGGCACAAGTGAAAGTGGACAAATCGCGGTCCACAAGTCGTGTTTGTTGTGTGCCCAGACTCGAGCCTAGGGTATATCCGGCATCTCTGGGCCGTCCGTCGGATCCCCGGACCCCCGGACCCCCGAACCGCTTCCAGCCCTCGGACAGATGCGTGCCACCGACCGCAACGGGCCCAGACTGAGGCTCGAAACCCCGTCCTATTGTCCGATTGGGCCGGCGCATGTACAAGAGGCCTCGGGACGAGTCAATTAATTACTCACTACCCCCTTCCGAGAACAGTCCCTGTGGAAAGTGGGTCGAGTCGAGACGGTTTCCCGTTGGACGGGAGAAATGTGTGCTGCCTTGATCGAGTGGTACGCCGGGTCTGCGACGAACCAAAGGGTGTGCGATGGATAGACGGACGATATGGCGACGTGACGGGGTGGATGAATGAGAGGTTGGCCTACAGGTCGGCAGTGTATAGGCGGCTTGAGGCAAGGGAAAAACGGGTCGATAAAAGTGAAAAAAAAGTAAAACTATTAGACAGTAACCATTAGTAAATGATGCCTAATCGGCCTTTGACGAGGCAGAATCTCTTTGTTATGAGCTTTTGCCCTAAAAAGGGGGCAGATTTATGACTCGGCCAGAGGCCTGAAACACCCTCGAGTTCATCGGATGCCGAGGCCAAATGGGCAAAGGGTGAACCGAGTCGGGCTCGAACGAGGTACCTTGAAGTAAACAAATAATTATTTCTGTCAGCTTTCCTCTCACATACACAACACACACACACACACACAGAGTTACGCTTTGATATAAAATTGAAGTTTATATACTCCGACTTTCTATCCAGGATCATTAATTCAAGGCAGACGAGTCTGTAGATGCTGTATATGTACCCGGGAAGCCTTGGTTACCCATGTCCCTACTACCATCACCTCAACGACTTAAAAATACTGGATCTCTGTACGTCTATTGACATTTAAGCCTTTGAACCTCAGTTATTGGACTCTAATCGAGAAAGAACTCGGTAAACGCAGCACATCTGCATTGAAGTGTTTCTTTGCATTTTGATTGGCCATTGGAGCAACCACAGAGGATTATTTGCTATATTTAAGATACTATTGTTCAATTCGACTTGTAACACATACTCATTTAATTCAGCATTTTTTCTGAGCAAAGACTTGCTTCGCAGTCTGAAGGATTTTAGGGTACAACGTTTGTTTCGGGGTTCGAATCCCGATGTTCGTCCCGGCTTCAAATTGATGCAGAAAAGCACAATTTCTGTCGCTTTCCTTGCATCAGTCCCTACTCACGATACATTTAATAGAATGTCATTTTGTCATCTTGCCATAAGAGCCTTTATTTTCCAGACTGGACTGCAGCTTCGAACTCATCTAATCAGAGCTGACCACCAGACCCTGGTCGAACTAAGTAACCATGACCACTCTTGCGTTTGCTACGATATTCAACATGCTACTGATTTTTGTCGTCAGTAATAATTTTGTTTTGTAGCTAATGAAAGAGTTTCTTGCTTGCTGAGCCGTTTTTTTGCTTCATTTCAGCCAGGATGCATGTAAAAGTGATGCTCTCCACAAAAGATAAATCTTCTTTACAGAATGGTACAGAAAAACCAGCTAAAACTGATGGACCTTGACAACCTTCAGTCTTTTTATATTTGCTAAACGAAAGCGTTGCTACCAGTCCCCTATTACCCCGTCCAACGCAGACCTTCTACCCACTCCTCCGAAAAAAGTGATGCTAATTTTGTAAGTAGTAAGGGTAAATAAGTAGTATTTGAGTTAATTGGATTTACTGCACCCATTTAGTGACTGGCCTCATGTCATGAAACATGGCGGCATGGGAACAAGTCCGACTTTTGAGGCTCCGCCTTCTCTCATTCCATCAGTCGAGCCAGGCGCTCATAGACTGAGTTTTAAACTCTTGAAAGTAGGATTTTCACTTCCTTTTTCCCTCTAGCAACCAGCACGGATGGCACAATTGACCTGACAAGTGTAATCGCCTACAATGCGCACTTCTATTCTCTTTTTTCCCACTTTCGTCAGTCTGGCGTGTCCTCATACCGTCTTTGCCCAACAGCCTGCCACGAGCTGTGCCACACATGCACACGCACATTTTATGCACAGCCTGGCACAGGATTATAAAGCCAACCATTGATGTACCAATTTTCCCAAGTGTTGATGAGTGTGTAGGGATTCCGTGGCCCTCCACTACCATAAGACTATGTCGACTGTACTTGTCACTGGAAACCTTGTCGCACAAGCAGCCCAAGCCTCCTTCCGACCGCCCCGACTGTCTCATATTTATATTATGGCGTCCTCACACATTGTCTTTGTGTGTGTGTGTGTGTGTGCTTTTCGTGGGGTGAAAACAATCACGAACGCTGTTAGCAGGAATGGCGGAGAAGAGCCGGACTCGGGCCCATCAGAGTATACAGTTCTATTTTGGCTCTGTATGTGTGTACCTATGGTTTATTCGCTTGTGACGATCGTAGCGATATGATACGAGAAGGGGAAAAGGGATCTGGCCGATAGAAAGATGGGATTTACTCCAACAGAAGAGGTTACACACGCACAGGATCTGCAGACGTACCTCGTCGAGCTAACTATGTCGACGCACTTGTCCCGCCTCTGCTCCTTCCTTATCTTCGTCTCTCTCGATTGTCGTAATATTTTTGTTTGTATGCCTTCTTTGTCTATTTGTCTGGGGCAGAAGACAACCAAACCACTCCAGCCTACTGTCAACGAGCGCCTTTTTGTGACCTCTCAGAAGTCTTCCCATTCACATTCTCACTCAAATCCACATTTACATTCATGTTCACATTCCTTATTCACATTCACTCTCACATTCGCATTCACACTCGCACATACTTGCACAGGCACGAGCACACTGGAGCGCGAGCACGTGAACACAACTGGTCCTGGCCCCAGGAAAAATGTAATTGTTAAAGCCATCTACGAGTGGAGTCAGTCGTCTTTTTCTCGTGTCGCCAGCCAAATGTTATGTTTACACTCAATTTGATGTCGAGGGTACATGACAAAGGCGGAGGGAAATCTGCACCCGTCTGCATGCCGGTACGCGCAATTTCATTCTCTAACTGCCTCATGCAAGACAAGTCTAATGACACTACTGCTGCTGTTGCTGCTTTCGTTGCTGTTGCTGATGCTGTTGCAGTCGCTGTTGCTGGGTCCCTTAACATTGCTGAAGGGCAGTGGGATATAAATGGAAGGAGGCTACGCTTCAGGTTATGCTTCTGGAGGTCTCTGGCCAAGAAGATAGACCGAAGAATTCTATTCACAGAAGCCAAACAGTATCATACTTTATAACAAAAGAAGAATTCAACTCAAGCCTGCTGCCTTCGCAGACCCGAGGGTTGTCAGCTTCAGGATCGGTGCAGAAGCGGTTGTCCAGGTGACTTCACTGAAGAAAGTAGTCCGGATCGCTATGGCACCTGTTCAGGCGGTCGATTTGAGCACTCATGTTAGACAATATCGACATTGGTGTTGGCCTGATTGCAATTCTGTATGCGAAAGTGTAAAGAATAGAATCAAAGTTTGATCTCAAAAACTAGCTATTTTGAGATAAGACGAAAAAATTTGGATTTCGAAGAATATAATAATGGGTTCGTGTTGATGTATGTTTACTTTCACCAAAAAAATGGAGAAATTAGGGTTTGCCTGATACAGAGAAGTATCGTAACAGACGGTTTATGGCTTTGACGATGTCTGATAAGCTTACGTCCATTTCGAATTGAGGTGTTTATTGAAGGAATTCGAAGTTCGAGCCCATCAAAATAGAAATAAGGATTCTTCTTGATTGGAAGATTCTAGTTGACATTGTCCCAGAGACAATTTACTTCGAGTTCAGTTGAAAAGTGTCAAAACTTTAGTGTGTCATATGACGAACCCATCAGAGCAGGCCATCATTCTTGCAATCACATTCAAGCTAGCAAGTCAAGAATGCTCCTCGGCGTATTCCTAAATGCAGCATATAAGCTTTTTGTGCGGGTGTCTGTTTGTGTGTGTTTGCATAGCTTCATGTGTTGGTATATGTACGAAGCCTGTCATGATGGCTCAAAGTAGTTCGAACAGAACGTAACCTCTATTCTCTGGCATCAATGTTTGATGATACCACCAACCCTTTTTTACACATTCTTAACCGTCACTCTGCATAATGTTGTACCTATGT